CGCGGTCCCTGTGCTTTGCTAAGCTTGTTCTAAGTAGGTGCTTTAGACCACTGAGTCATCTCACCAGCCCCAAGCCTCTATTTTTTCATCTTTTTTTTTTCTTTCTTTCAGGAACTGGGGATTGAACTCAGGCCCTTGTGCTTACCAGGGAAGCGCTTATTCTACTGAGCCATCTCCCGGGCCCCCAAGCCTCTATTTTTTTAAATCTACATTTGATCTAGTTTTTAGGTAAGTCTCTGATTATGGTTACCATCTCTGTAGCTGTCTGTGAAATTATTTCTGATTTGATTTTTTTCTAAAACCTCATTTTTTTTGCTTAATACTTCTGCTGTTACACTTTAGGGAGCTTCTGAATTGTTTCACGTCATTGCTTCTTGGATTTGTCTTTGATGAACTGAAGGTCTGAGTTTGCATCTTAAGTGTCTTGTCATTTTCTTTTTTGCAAGGTTTAATTACTAAGTAAATGCTTATAAATTGCATATGGCAGGTAGCTTTATTGCTAGTATTGAGAACATTTAGGAAGTCACTTCTACTCAGAAATATCTTCCAGGTGTATCAGGCTTTTTTTTTAAGATAGGGTCTCTCTATGCAGTTCAGGCTGCCTTAAGCTTATTTTGTAGCCCAGGCTGGTGTCAAAACTTGCAACAATCCTCCTGCCACTGCCTCCTGAGTGCTGGGAGACCAAGCATGTGCCACCATGCCCAGCTGTGGCTTTTGGGTTTTGACTGCTACAAGATTGTACCTCTTCAATTTATTGGGGATGAGGAGTTGCTGCCTATATGGCCTAGCCTTTGGGTTTTGTCTTTTGAAGAACTATCCTTTTTTTCATAGTCTGACAAAGAGGGCAAGGACATATGAGATATTAGTCCACAACAACGAGTCATGTAACAGATAAGAATTTTAATGTTTATTATCATAGCTAGAAAAAGGAGGAATATTTTATACCAGGTTGTTTTAGAGAACCAGAATTTTGCCAGTTATTAAAGCTTATGGCATCTCCAGGCAAGGTAGCACAAGCTTGTAATCCCAGCGCTCAGGGGCCTGAGGCAGGAGGATTTTTTTTTTTTTTTTTTTGGTACTAGGGATTAAACTCAGGGCCTTACACCTGCCAGGGAAGCACAGTGCTTATTCTACTGAGCCATCTCCCCAGCCCCTAATATAATTTTTTTTTTTTGCAAGACCAGGGATTGAACTCAGGATCCTGAACTTGCAGGCAAGCGCTTATTCTACTGAGCTATCTCCCTGGCTCAGGAGGATTGTTTTGAGTTCAAGACCAGCCTGGGCTACAAAATGAGCTCAAGACCAACCTGAACTGCATAGTGAGATCCTACAAGACAATAAATAAATAAATAAATAAATCTTATGGCAGAGGCCAACATTGTATTGATTTGTGAACATAGATCATGTAATTAGAGGACATATTTGTAGAGTTGTAAGGAATGTACACAGAATATTTTTGTTTGGATAATGGCACACATTTTAGCTTATATTATTATGTCTAGGGGCATTTGATTTTATGAAATCATTTTTTAGAGTGGCTTTTTTTTTTTAAATTTTATTTGTGTGTGTGTGTGTGTGTGTGTGTGTGTGTGTGTGTGTCCAGCTCAGCCCACCAGGGGGCGGGGCTGGCTGGCATGTGGTGCTGGGGGATTGAACTGCAGTGCCTTTGTTTTTGCTAAGCTTGTTCAAAGTAGGTGCTTTAGACCACTGAGCCATCTCACCAGCCCCTAGAGTGGCTTTTTAAAAGTACTTGTTTTTATCATTTTTATTTTTAAATTTAATAATGAAATATCTCTTTGAGTATAGTTAGTGACTAAATACGCCATATTATATTTTGAAGTCTTATTTGTGGGGTCAAGGAGATAGCTCAGTGGCATAAGTGCCTGCTTGGCAAGCTGAAGGTCCTGAGTTCAATCCTCAAATCCACAAAAAAGTCTTATGTATGCAATAAAGATAGTGGCCAGAGAATTACATCAATGGAAAACTGATTTGGTTTGTTGGTACCTCAAGACTGGGAGGTTAGCTGGTTGACCTATGGTTTTAACCTAGTACCCTTGGACCTCTGGATCGCTCTCTCTCTTTTTTTTTTAAATGTATTTAGGACAAGGTCTACAGGGTCTCACTACACAGATGAGACTCCTAGTGATCCTCCTGTTTTCAGCCTCCCAAGTGCTGGGATTACAGGTGCGCACCACCACACCCAGCCTCAGCTGCCTTCTCAGCGCACCCCGGGGGTGGGGCCGGCACAGCAGGCCAGGGATCGAACCCTGGCCTGCTGTGTTCTGCCTAAGCAGGCACTTTAGTCCTCTGAGCTATCTGGCTGGCCCAGTTGTTTTTGTTTTTGAGAGAGTCTTGCTACATAGTGCAAGCTGGCCTTGAACTCACTGTGATGCTCCTGCCTCAGCTTCCCAAGCATTGGGATTATAGGCATATGCAACCACTCCTAGCTTCTTTTCTTTTCTTTTAGTTTCTTGAAACATGGTTTTAATTTGTATGTTCATGCTGGCCTCAAAATCCCACCTATTGTCTTTATTTTTATTTTTTTTTATAATTTATTTATTTGTGTGTGTGTGTGTGTGTGTGTGTGTGTGTGG